CACTTTAGCATTTATAATTTATAATTTCAACCCTTACTGCGGGGAATAAACAATAATCTCAACCACTCTCAGTGGTAGTAAAACTTTAAAATCATCCGCCTTTTTGCGGCAATGATCACACCCTGTTTGTATGTTATTTTAAGTAGTGGGAGGGTTGATTTTGCAATCAACACCTCGTTGTTTCCATGCAAGTTTTAGCAAACTTGCATTTTATTGGTGGCATGATCGGTTCAACCACCTGAATTACCTTTATGATTTTCATACATTTCCTAACTTCCCAAACTAATGTGGCGTCTTCTATAAATTGTAAGTCCCACAATTAGTAAATTCGATTTCAATTTAGTTCATGTTATTTCGCAATATGAATAAGTTCAATAACCTCAATTCATTTGCGAAATAACCATTGATTTCAAAATTAAAATAAATGAAAAATAAAATTATAAATAATTATTAAATTAATTTGAAATAATAATTGAATATTTAACATTAAAAAATTTATATGTGTGTGTTGTGTATGTTGTTGGTGTATACTTATGTACTTATTTTAACTCTGTGTGTAATTAATTTAACTCTTTTTAATAAAATTAATAAAAATGATTTCATTCTACCTTACATTTTACTTCAAAAAGGAAATTTAGGAATTTTAGAATTATATTTGGTAGTTGAAAAGTATTTAATTTTACTATCTTTTTTTAATTCATTATTGGCACAAAAATAACATTTTTCTATTTACCGAAAACTGGAATGAAAAAATAAAACCAGTTTCAATTAAAAATAAAACTAAATTTATTATAGGGTCCATTCATTTATTTATTTATATTAATTTTTATTACACTATCTAGTTTAATTAATAGTATACTTAACCATAATTTTCGCTTCTCGAATAAGATTAGGTTTTGCAGTGAGTGGAAAACTATATACGTATATAATCGAAAAGCCACATCGATAAACTACATCAACGAAGAGAGTCTCTACGAAATTAGAGATATCTTTTTTTAAATTCCATTTGTGTATGATAAATAAATATATGGCAATGAGAAGCAAGACAAAATTAAGACCTATTCGAGTAGCGACTGCTGTCAGCAAATTGGCATTTTTTTCCCTCTTACAACGAAAAAAGATTTACATAATCAACGAAATTTTCTCATTTCCACCCACACACACATACCTCAATTTTTTTGTCTGCACGATGAATCAATAAATATTTATTTCAAATTGATTTTCGGCATTATAAACGTAAATCGTAAAGTGTATTTCTTCTCAACAACTGATATGGCGATACCCGATCAGACCAGCTGAAAAACGAGTCACTAATTTTGTTAACTTTTTTCTTCTTTTATAATTATTATTTATCATCATTTATATTAATTTAAATTTTTCCCCATTTTTTCTCTTTTTGTTCAACTTAATCTATATATATATATATATATATATGGGTTAAAATTCGTGTAGCGTACTAAGTGAAAAAAAGTTGATCGTATCGTGCTGTAACTTGCACACAGTTTAGCCCTAGGGGTATGTAATTTAACCACGAAGTATTGTTCGGTTTTTTCAAAAACTGTCGGAGAGGGAGGGGGTTAAATTTTTTTGAAAAATTTAAACAGTAAATTTTTGAAGAGTTGTAACTTTTAAACAGAAAGATGAAAAAAAATTGACCTATATGTTTTCGAAAGGGTTTTCCCTACTCTTTCGAATGGTGCAAAATTTTTTTCAAATAATTCAAAATTTGACCCTTTTTTTGAAAATCAAAAATATTTTTGACTTTTTTTTTAAGTTCGATCATTTTTTATCTTTATTTATTTTATTTTTTTGAAAGTTAAAAATGTGTATTTTCACTACAATAGTATATTGTGAACCAAGTACCGAAAGAAGCTTTAGTACGTGATACACACAGTACTTTGTGCAACACCAATTTAGAGAAAATGCTTTTTATTAAGTGAATAACAAACTACAACTAATGTTTATATTTATAATAAAAAATATTTATTAAATTCATAAAATATGTAATAATTTCTATATAATTAGTTTTGTACACAAATTCAACTGCTAATAGCGAGCAAAAGTCAAAATTCTACAAAAATAAAGTCATAACGCTCGATGCCGCCAGCGTACATACTTGTAAGCATCCTTCAAAGTACTTTTCTGCACTAGTGCAGCAAAGTAATGTTTTGCGCCTACTTAACAAGCATGAAAGTAATGCTTTTCTTTAAGGTGTTGCACAAAAAATATTAAGATGTCCTTTTCTGTTATTTTCGAGATATTAATTAATTAATTACTGGTTATAAAAAATGCAATAATTTACAAATAAATAAAGTTATTGCGATTCTGACGATACCAATTGAAAGCTGACGTAATTCCGCATCCAACGAGCCTTATATGAACTATTTTGGATTAGAGGATTTTTTATAAACAATTGCAATGTAAGCCAATTGTTTATTAACAATCCATTAATCCAAAGTACTTCAAATAGAGCTTGTTGGATGCAGAATGACGTCAGCTTTCAATTGGTATCTTCAGAATCGCAATAACTTTATTTATTTGTAAAATATTGCATTTTTTATTACCAGTAATTAATTAATTAATTAATATCTCGAAAATAACAGAAAATGACATCTCATTATTTTTTGTGGTGAAAATACACATTTTTAACTTTAAAAAAAAATAAATAAAAAAAAGACCGAACTTAAAAAAAAAGTCAAAAATATTTTTGTTTTTCAAAAAAGGGTCAAATTTTGAATTAAAAAAAATTTTTTTGCATTATTCGAAAGATTAGGAAAAAACCTTTCGAAAATATTTAGGTCAAATTTTTTTTCATCTTTCTGTTTAAAAGTTACAAGTCTGAAAAAATTCATTGTTTAAATTTTTTAAAAAAATTTAACCCCCTCCCACTCATACAATTTTTGAAAAAACCTAACAATACTTTGTGGTTAAAGTACTCACCCCTAGGGCTAAACTATGTGCAAGTTACAGCCCGATCCGATCAACATTTTTTTCACTTAGTATGCTACACGAATTTTACCCCATATATATATATACATGGGCTATTCCACGTGTTTACGTATGACATTTTAAATTTAGAAAAATATTTTTTTGTTCTTTGCAGAAAAAAGTGGTATACGTATTTTTTTAATTAATTTATAATTGCCTCAATTTTTTCAAATTAAGAATTTTTTTTAAATTTAGGTTTTTGGAGGTTTTTTTTAAAGTAGACCTATTTTTAATGTCATCCAACGCTAAAAGTATTGAATTTAGGAATTTTTGACATAAAAAGTCCGTTTTTCTTCGACTTTTGAATAATGCTAAAAAATGTTTTTTTAATTTTTGTTAAAAAAATAGCAATTTTTTAGAAACAGATTAATCTTTTTAACTTTGGACCTGATGATCCTTTTTGTTTAAATAATTTGTTTAAAAAAAATTATTTCTTTTCTTTTTTTATTTTTCAAAATGAAAAGTTTTTTGGCCACTACGATCTTTCACTTTACTCATAGAAAAGGAAATTAAAATGTATTTTATATTAAAAAATAAAAAAACGAAAAATTAAAAATAATTTTTTTAAATCAAATTATTTAAACAAAAAGGATTATCAGGCCCACTTTAAAACTTCTTGCAAAATATTGTTAGTATTTCCAGATATGTAAAAATTTTTAAAAAGTAAGAAAAAATCGGGCCCAAAGTTAAAAAAATTAATTTGTTAATAAAAATTCGTTATTTTTTATATAAAAATAAAAAAAAACTTTTTCGTTAACATATTTCGAAATTCGAAGAAAAACTAAACTTTTTTTCACTTGGAAAAAATTACTAAATTCAATACTTTTAGTGTTAAATTTGGGCACTTATAAAAAAATGAAAAATACGTATACCACTTTTTTCTACAAAGAACAAAAAAATATTTATTTGAATTTAAAGTGACATAGGTAAATTTCACGTGGAATAGCCCATGTATATATATATATATATATATATATATATAATTATTGATTTATTTATTAGTCCACAACAAAATTTTCTCCATTTGACGAAGGAGTATTAAGTACTTATATTACAATACTTCCATTTTAAATACATTTCGTTTTCTTATCTACTTGAATGTTATCATTTAATTTTATGCAGGTTTTTAATGGTCCTTAAGATCGTCAAGTCGCTTATTCTTATATATTTAAATATATATATTCTTCTCAAATTTCCACCTGAAAGCTCGAAGAAAATGGAAATTGGACATTTCTGTAAATGGTATGCTCGAAAAATAAATTCGTTATACTTGAGTTATTATAAGCTGAATCGATCCATGTCCATTTAAAGATGAGGTTTTAACACTTATTGTATAATTGGTTTTTTCAAATTTTTAGAAATTTCTGGCCCGCATTTTGTCGGCAGTGCAATGATCGTTGAACAAATTTCAACTCGAGAAATAAGTCTCGATTGATATGACGTTTATTTGGTTCTTTAATGATGTTTCTGTTTTATTTTTAAATAATCTTAAATGAAAGAAAACAAGAATCTTTCAAAAATAATAGTTTCTTATGAAACAAAAAAAGTTATTCAATTAATAGTTGCATAAAACCATAATTTTTTAGAAATCAATGAAAACTGTTTTTATGCTTACAGTATTATTTTATTTAACCCTTTCAAAAATTTTTTTTCTAGAATTTTCAAAAGTTTTATAGAGTTAGTTTTACATAAAATTACAAAAATTTTACAAAAACATTACCAAATTGAATAAAGTAATTTTAATTATTTAAATTATAATAACTCAAGAATATCATATAGTTAAAAAAATTGAAGTATTTAATTTTCACATGGATTAAAATTCATTTAATATTAATTCTTTTTTTTTAAAAAAGTAAATAATTTTTCTTAAAAATGACAATATTCTTCAAAAATTTCGTTTTTTAATTTGGAAAAAATGTTGGCCTCAGATCGATTCAGAAATTTTCTTGTAATTGGGAATTAATTTTTTTTAGAGCGCACATTGGAAATATTGTACTTATTAAGGTCTACGATTCTACTTTAACAATTATATTTTTCCTGATCTTTAAATAGGTAAAACATATTTTATATCGAAGTATGAGGATGAAGTTTCATAATTTTTTTGTTTTTAAGGGGGATCTTACTTTTCTAACGATTATTACACAAGCTATATCGATATTTTGTTAAATTGCAAGAGATGATGGCGAAGTCATGATTAATTCTTAAAATTAACCATTAATGTTTTTTAATTAAATAATTCCTTCCTGCAATCAATATTATTGAACGTTTATTTATCGATTCTATTTATTTTTTACTTGTAAACGACTGAAAAAACCCTTATTAAAGCCATGTTCAAGACAATTGTTTGAAAAGATAATGAAATAGAGAATTTTTCTGATGGAGGCAAAATTTCTATATTATGAAATCGTTTATGAAAATTGTGTATTTTTAAAGAGTTTTAAATTGAAACAATTGTAGTTTCTCATATGAAGTTTATTTAAAAATATAACTTGAACATGTCTTTCACAAAAAACAGAATATAAAAATAAAATAATATAACGCCTTAATCCAAAAATTTTATTTTGATTTCTTTCTGATCGGAATTCATCGCAATTTCCGAGTTTTTCTTTATAATAATCAAATTTGAACTAGAATTTAACTATTTCACAAAAATTTCAATCACACATAATAATTCCCCCTTTCGACTCCAATTTTAAATAAAATCGCACAACACTCATGCGCGCCTTTTCTCCCTTTCTCTACTTTCGACATAAATATTCATATTCAGAATATTTTTTTTTAAAATGCAACACAGTGACCACATTAAAAAAATTTAAAATAAAAACAAGACTTTTTCTTTTGAATTCTATACAAAAATCGATGCATTGATTTATATTTTAATCAACAATAAAAATGGATCTACTGTGATGCATTCAAGAATTGTAATAATTCTTATATATTGTTGAATAACATAATTTCACATCTACACATAACAATCAACATATTTTTTTATAATAATCACTGCTTTTCTCTGATGAAAATTTTTTTTGGAAGTCAAGATTTATTTCTAAAAATTTAATGCACTGAACGAAACGATTATAACGAACAAACACTCTTGTCAATATAAATAATACATCTTTTTTCGATATCGAATTCGACAATTAGAAATAATGTAATAATAATAATAATAATAATAAAAATATTAACAATAGTAATAAAATTAATAATAATAATAATAATAATAATAATAATAGCACACTTTATTTGAAAAATGACTAGTTATTCGTCTTTATTTTTGTGCAACTCTTGTTACGTATTTGAGATTTCTCCAGTATTTAACGTTTTTTTAGTTAAAATACATGAAAAATACAAGAATGTTGAGGTATATGTTTGTACTATGCACAAAATTGACTCTGGTAACAAAAAACATCTGAGCCTCAACCTTTTGTTTTACAAAATTTGTTGTTTCAAAGTTTTTGGGCAAATCGGAAAGAATTATGGAAAAAATCCTCTGGACAAACTCGAGGTAATTTCCTTTAAAAAAATAAAAATATCCTCACATTAAATAACAAATAAAATACAGGAGGTATTTGTGCATTGTAGTCGATTCGGTCTAAAAACAAAATCAAACGTTCCACGTTTGTGAAGAAGTGCTTATTCTAAGTTTACAGCATATTTTCATACTGACATTTAACATAATTAAATGATCGCTCTAATGACAATATACGATATCTTAACAGAGCTAAAGATTTTTTGTTTTAATTAATTTAGTTTGGTAGCGATGCCTTATTTTTTCTTTTTGTTGTTGTCCTTGACATCGAGGATTTCCTGCTAATAAATATTCACTTTGCCCATTTAATGAATTTTGCATCTTTCTTGAGATTATAACAAGCACCTTTTTCTCTAGTGCCTAATGAAATAAATTAAGTCCAAGATTTGAGTAAAACCATTATTTATAAAAAAACACTTTTTACTCAATAGAGATGAATTTACTTTAGAAACTTTAAATAATTTAAAATTAAAATAAATAAATTTTTTCCAAAAATCAAATTTTAAACTGAAAAAAATTAGAATAAAAAAAGCTTTCGAAAATTACTCCACCGGTCTGTTTTATAAATCAAAAATTTCCTTTAAAAGGGGTACTTTTTCTATATAATATCTTAAAGAATATTTATTATGAACGAGATAGTGTTTATAATAATACGTTGCTTGGCATTCGTAAAACTGAGTCTCCCTAAAAGAAGCCACAAGCTCAAAATTAAACAAGTCTCGGAACAGGGAAAATATCGAAAAATATAATTGTTCTTCGACTCAATAACACAGAGAAAACCTGGAATCGTTTTTGTTGCAGTTCAAAATGAGCCAATATTAAACGATTTAAAATGTGGCGCCACATGCATGACTCATTTTTGTTGCACTTTAAAATGGGTAGCGTATGCTTCTCGCTTTGAGCTCAGGTTTTTTCTGTCAACTCGGGAGACTTGTTTCCTTAAATTATAAGGATTCGTTTTGTATTTGAAATATAAATAGAATCATGGCACTATCAGCTCGGTAACGAAAAAGATTCTTAGCCAAAAAGATGGCATCCTTAATAATAAAACTGTATTACTTTCCGATCTAATACAGTCTTGATAATATTATTCTCATGGCGTGCCGTACATACTTTAAGGACATGTGGTTTATAGTGTAAGGTTAATAATTTAAATAGTCGTAGGTGTAAATGCTGCAGCTACGAATGATGAATGACGTACGCCTAATGGACAGTTGTACGAATGACATCTCGAGAAGACTTTTCTTTAAATTACGTGGATGAAGTTCACAAACGGATGCTGATACAAGTTTGTGCAAACGGAATTTTGCCCTGTACAAGAAATCTCGTCACAGTGGGCTTTGTTCTGTGGTTATGCAGGTGTTCATCGGATGTCAGAGATTTCCGTTTTGCTGCCAAAGATCTTGATCAGTTGATCTTCGTAATCATCGATGTTACGTTTCATCAACTCCATGCAAGGACCCAATAAACGCTCGAATGCTTCTACGTCCAAAACTGAAAAGAAAAATATTCTTTAAATCCAGAAAAAAAATTTCAAGTTTTTTTTTAAAGTACACATTTACACAGAAAAAATCTGAAAGCACTGAGTATTTTTTCTCACAGTACTAAATACTGTCTAAACCAAACAATTAAATTCCAGAGCTCCGAATATTCTACGCACAGCACTGAATCCCTACTGAAAATTCCGGCCCCGTTTCCTAAGGCGGATACAACATGGAATCCATAGTCGGAAACGACGCCGGATCCGTAGCTGGGATTTGGGACCGTTTCCGGCGTCGGATCCATCACTGGATCCGACGTCGGATATTTATTTTTAAAATTTAATTTTGTTCATTAAACAATTTTTTAATGTAAATTATAATTCAATAAATTATTAAGTTTTAAAGAGCATTTATAAATGAGTTCCCGGTAACACATATGTAACAAATCTAGATCTCTGTTACAAAAAATATAAATTTATCTTAAATTATTATAATAAAATTAGATTTCGTTACATTTTGTTTTTATTTGACGTCAATAATACAAATAAATAAAAAAAAAATTCTTTCGACGTGTTGACTCTGAGACGCGAACCCTCGACCATCATAGCTCTCAACCGCACTGGGAGCGCCTTAACGGGCTCGACCAGGAAAGGCTATGAAATGTCTTGAGAAAATGTCTCTTATAACGGAAATACTTTAAACAGATACTTATATTATTTTGTAAAGTCACCAAACAGTTTTTCAGATGTTTATTATTACGAAGAGTATATTATCGTACACATATATTTTTTTCCAATGGTATATATGCGTTTTAATACCCAATTTTATATTCGGAGTTTATTAACTTTAACATTTTAATTTAGAATGACATGAATTAAAATTTTAATCAAGTGAACTCTGCATAAATTTCAATTTTTTCGAAAATAAATTAAGTAACAATGTTGGTATAGCAAATTTTTTTTAACAAACTAATGTAATTTGTATAATGCTAATACTTAATTACAATTCACTTTTTACCAGAATTTTCTTATATGAAATTAATGTGACCAAAAATAAATTAGTACATAACTCCAATTTAAAAATTACTTTTTTTAAACAAGGAAAATAAGTTACATTAACAGAATTTTAAACACTATAATATTAGGGGTACCTCCAATTTTAATAAAACTTGGTATACTAACGTATTTTGGTGCGCTGATTATGAAAATGATAGTAAAAATTGGAGCAAATGTGATTTTCATACTAAAAACCATATAAACACCATAAAATCATGGTTTTTTGCGATTAACTAGTAAAAACGCAAAATTTCGAAAACTGCTTTAGACAAAAGTTGTAGATTTCAAAAAAACAGACATTTTATCTTGTATACATTTTTTACTAAAAATGATAATTTTTCGAGAAAAATCCAAAAAACCATAACTAACATATAAAAATTATCACTTTTGGTAAATATATATACGAGATAAAATGAGTATTTTTTGAGATCTATAACTTTTGTCTAAAACATTTTTTAAAATTTTGCTTTTTTTACGAGATAATCGCAAAAACCACGATTTTATGGTGTTTTTATGGTTTTTATTATAATAATCAAATTTGCCCCAATTTTCAGTATCATTTTCGTATTTGCTGAAAATCGAGTAATTTCTATTTTGATAAAATTTTATTTTATGCAGCAGAAAAAAATTTAGATAAGCTTTAAACGCATGAAACTGATTGTCCCCATTTACCTCAAACTAAATAATGTTTTTAATTAACCCAAGTAGCACGGAATATTGGTTGAATGTCACGATGATATAAAGTAGGAATATTCCTGTGACATTCAGGCGATATCATAATGTCCGCTTCATGGGGACATTGCACGGTGATATTCCTGTGACATTCGCGTGAAATTCGTATGATACCGAGAGAAAATTCCCGTGAAATTCATGTAATATTGAGGGTATTTCCCTGTGATATTGAGCGGAATATTTCCTGTGATATGAAGGGAATATTTCTCTGATATTGAGGGAATATCCCTGTGATATTGAGAAAATATTCCTGTTATTTATAAAATTCCAAAATGTTGTTTGTTTTGATTGTTTTGAATATTTAAATACAAAAATAAATAAATAGAAAAAAAAATTTTTTTTTAGAATTTTTTAAATTATCTCATCAATATCACTGGAATATCCCCTCAATATTACATGAATTTCACGGGAATTTTCCCTCGGTATCATACGAATATCACGCGAATGTCACAGGAATATCACCGTGGAATGTCCCCATGAAGCAGACATTATGATATCGCCTGAATGTCACAAGAATATTCTTGCTTGATATCTCCTTGACAGTCAAGCAATATTCCGTACTACATGGGAAGTGTATTTAATGTTTGACTAAACAAACTGTAAGTTTTTTTTCTATATTGGAGTTCCAAAATTTTTTTTCGTATTACTTTTACTCCAAAATAGAAAAAAACTTATAGTTTGTTCAGTCAAACTTTAAATTTAACACTTATTTAAAAACATTATTTAGGATCAGTTAGGGTAATTGGGGACAAAAGATATTGGCGCTTAATTTACAGTTTTAAAATTAAGTTCAATATCAATATTTTAATCTCAGATCATCTACAACAGGTTCTGAGTATTGCCAAGCTTTTATCTTGACAATTGGCAGCAAGATAAAAAAAGTTATCGCTCAATGCATAAAAACTTGAAAATCAAAGTCAAACTGTTTCAGTATTTTATCTCGCATTTCAAAGAAAAAAGACTTAAAAATCATACCAAATTTTTTTCTTATTTCTTATGACTCCCATAACAAAAATTCAAGTGAATTTCTGTTATAGGAATCATAAGGAATAAGAAAAAAATTTGGTATGATTTTTAAGACTGCTTTTTTTAAATGCGAGACAAAATACTGAAATTAAAAAAAAATAAAAAAAATTTCATTTGGTTCAACTATTATACATATATCTACTACAAATGTTTTTCAATTTTTTTCATCCCTTAATACAGTAATATACTTGAGGAAACTTTTTTCTAAAAACTTTCATAGAAACTATGCTCTCCCCATTTACCCCAAATTTTATGAAATTTTCTAAATTTTGGGGTAAATGGGGACAATTAGTTTCATGCGTTTAAAGCTTATCTGAAAAATTTTTTTGCTGCATAAAATTAATCCTGGAGTGGGATTACGAATAGCAACAGCGCTACGAAGATTTCGCTACGTAGCGATTTGAAGCTACATTCACTTAACAAAAATTTTTAGTTACTGAATGACTCAAAAAAATTGTATCAGTTTCACAGATTTAGGTTAGCATAATTCTGCCGTACGAAGTAAAAACTTGGTTAACTCATATTTTGACGAAAAATGAGTTTTTGGTATCAATGGATTCGTAATAAAAAAAACGCATCTGATGATGTTACTAAAAAAATTTTATTTAATTATTTATTGCAAAAAGATAGTTATAAAAAATTGGCGAAAACTTAGAAAATACTACATAAAAAGTATGCAAACTCGAGTTAAGAAGTCCGAAAATCGTAGCTCGAGCATGAGATAAGAAACAAAAACTCAGTCAACTCGAGTTGAGTATTTTTGCTGTCAAAAACGTAGTCGAATTTCATGCATAGTTTCGAAGCAAAAACCGTAACTCGAGTTAAGGCCATGTGGGCAATAATTGATTTTGCGAAACCCAAATTTTGGAGGTATGATAGAGAAGGGTTGAATAGACATCGCTGTTCTCCTTATATTTTATATATTTACACCAAAATATATTTAAAATATTGTGAAAGATGGTACTACTTTCCATTGAAAGTGACAGGTAAAATGGCGGACAGAGTACTGAAAGGCACAGACATGGTGAAAGTATATTAGGGGTAGCGGTGCGCACGACGCGTTTTCGTCATCTTCTGCGCAGACCATTGCCTCCGACATTTTTAAAAACAAAAGACGATTCAAATTCAAAAATCTGGCATTTTTTATTGTCGACTTTTAATTTCGTGGTTATGAATTTTACTAGTATAATTATTAATTAATAAGTTGATTATTATTTGCTTTTATAAATTAATTGTTTTATTTACGGTAAAATATATTTTTAATAAAGTTCAAATTATTGACTGAAAAAATATATAAAAATTTTGAAGTTTTTTTAAAATAAAAATTACTACTGCATTAGGGTCAACCGGGGTAAATCCGAACGCTTTTAGTAAGTTTCAACAATAACATAAGTTTTTTCTTTAAAAAAAAATACTTCCGGTATTCTGGTGCATGAAGTTGTTACTTTACTTCCATAGAACAATTTTATGGGGTAGCAAAAATTTTTGATAAATTACAATCGCAGGAAACTTAGCGTTCGTATTTACCTCGATACTTTGCAACTTTCCTAAAATACCGGGGTAAATACGAACGCCACTGTATTTCAGAAAAATCTTAGGGAAAATAAATTTAAAGTATTGCAATTGTTAAACTTATATAAAGACTCAAAAAAATACGATAATAAACCTATTATGTAATAATGCATCATATATAAATACAAAAATCAAACAGGTTAAAAATTAAAATGCATTACACAATTAATACCTTCAATAACTTTATCAAATCATAACGGATTTTTGCAAAACTTGCTACAGAAAGTATTTTGGAGTGATTGAATGTAAATACAAAAATAAAAGTCAAATTTTTTTAATTCAAAATGGCGGACTTTCCTAAAACTTATTTTTAAAAATGATCAAATTTGCTAACTCCAAATTCGTAATCAGCGACCCTGAAACACCCCGAGTAACAATTTTAGAGCGAATCCAATGAATTTTTAAATTCTCGTCCGCCATTTTGAATTTTGAAAAACTGACTTCAAATTGGTAATTAGCGACCCCAAAAACCGTAGAATACCAAATTTTATTAAGATCCTGAAAAACTTTTTTCAACAAACCATTTGGCAAAAAAATTGAAACACTCCTTCGAGAGAACAGAGATTAAGTCATATGACGGTGATATCACCATGATATCACCGTCATATGACTGTGATATCACCTTGAT